ATTTTTAATTTTATTTTAAATTTAAAAATTAAAATTAAAAATATAATTAATAAAAAATTTAAATTTAAAAAAAATAATTAATTTTAATTAGATTACTTTAAATTGATTTGATTATTTCACCTAATTTAATGCGAAGATTCATCTCTTATAGGGTTTTGGGTGAAAAAGAACTATATATATATATCACACAATATTAATATCCTTCCTCAACCGAGTTTAGAAGGATAACGATACCTTTAGAAGGGAGCCATTTTATAATCATGAGAACCCTCTCCTTTAGCTATGCATTTTTTCTACTAATCATGCTTGTTTCCATGATACTAATATGCGGACCGTGTTATGGTTTGTTTATTTTATCCTCTTAAACTGTCTTTTTGTTTCTCTTATATTGTGTGATTTACATGAAATAATCTTTTTCCATCACCTGTTGTCATTGAGTTGAGATCGTCATTGAACTGTCATTTCATATTCATATTTTGGAAAAAAATTAGATGCAATCTTTTGCATGATTTGTCAATGATGTGAGGTGTTCAATGGTATGTATTCTCCTTCATTTAGAATTAGAGGTCTAACACTCAACTGCGTATATCTTAGGAGCGGAAAGGGTAAAAAAAAAAAAAAAATGAAAGAATCAATTCTCTTGTTGTAAAAACTAAAATTTGATGCATGATAGTATATAATAATGTTTATCACAAATTAGGTTTTACCATTTTTTGTTTGATGTCATAAGCCATTCTCATAATTATATTCATGTTTATGAGTTTTAGGCTTTGTACCTATGATGCCTGCAAGAAATATTGAAGATGAATCGTCGCCCCATGCCAAGGACTATGTCACTGGAGAGAACAGAGGCATACTGACTAGCCTTGTAAATGAAGATGCGCTTAGTACATGTTGCAATAGCCATCCTGAACTGGGAAGATGTTTGCCGGGTGTAGATGACATATCTCCTAATGGCAAGTGTTACATATTTTGTAGCAGTTGTCCGAAAGGAGGCTTTTGCAAACCATTCAAGGATGGGCATCACGAGTGCCATTGTTATTGTTGATCTCATCTAACACTGATGTCATCCATCTTTAGAATCTTCTAAGGGGAAAAATGGAATAAGAATAATTGATCTTATTTATTAAGTTAAAATTATCTAATAAAATTGTATAAGGTGCATTAATTGCTTTTTTTTTTGCTTACTTACTTTCTTATTAAGCTTAATACACCTAATTTTTAAGTTGAAACGTTTAGGTTATTTTTTTTAAAATATTATTTAATGCGCTTATTTTTATTTTACTTTATTTTTAAAATATAGTTATAGTATATATAACATAAATTAAATAAAAAGTCTTATTCAATTAGTAATTAATTAAAAATAAATATAAAATTTTTCCAACTAAATATTACATCTTAATTTTATTGTATAAAAAACTAGGACCCCTAAAATTAAATGGAGTATTAATTATTGTGAAAAAATAAAAGTTGATATTAATTTTGTCAACAACCAATTAAAATTGTACATATATCATTAATATTAAAAATAAAATTAGTGTTTATATTTTTATAGTAATTTTGTTCAATTTTAGTAATTCTAATTAGATTTTTGAAGACATTAATTTTAAATAAAAATGTAACAAAACGTGTGAATGAAAACTAAAAATTTTCTTTTTTTTTCTCTATACTGTTTTTGTTAAGTAATTTTAATTGATAATAAAAAGTTCAATTATCTTTTATAAACTATATTAAATTTTTATTTAAAGTTAAATGTAAGAAAAATTAAAAAGCTAAACTAATATCGTTAAAATTAAACTGATGTGGTACAAATTAAGACGTAAGAATAGCTAAAAAAATATAAAAATTGAGTAATGATATAGAGCATGAAGATATAAGACTAAAATTTAGAATCAATGATGTGGTATAAATTATATGATTAAATGAGTTAAATTAATACATATAATATATATTATGACTCCTAATATATTGAAAAAATTAATTATTAAATAATATAAAATTTATTTTTTAATATTTTAAATGAAATAACTCATTATATGATTAATTTTAAATTTTACTCTTATAAAATTCGTCATTTTTATCTTATTCGTAAAAAATGAGGAGAAGGAATAATGGAAATGAAGAGACCATAATGGGAATTTGAAGAATATTATTATATAAAAAGAGGAAATTATCGGTGTAGGCTTACAACAGTTAAAAAAAAAAAAAAAACCAACGTAGGCCTACAGCTGTTTCCCGGTTCCCGGTCTAAAAATAGATTTTATTAAAAGTTTTTTTAGTTTGTACTCTTAGAATATACTTTAAGAATATTAAAAAAATAAAAAATAATATTTAATTTATTAATTATTTAATTAAATTTATTTA